CTTCGCAGCCTCGCAGCAGCGCCGCGGTGACAGATGAAGCCGGGGTGCTCCTTCGTCTCCTCCGAGAGGGAAGGGAAGCTCCTCGACATGCCAAAGCTGCAGCCGGCCGCTCCCTTTCGCCTCTGCGAATGAGCCGGTGCCCGGTGCCCACCCGGGTTGCAGTGCGTGGGGCGGCGCTGGCCGAGCACGAGGCCCCCCCTGTCCCCGTGGAGCAGCGGGCGCCCGGCCCTGTCCTCCCCCACTGGCACCGCAGGTAGGTGTGGGACGGAGCTCGTCCATTGGGGCGCTGCTGGCACAGACACGTGGGCTGGCAATGCCGCTCCCCGGGGTGGCCGCTGCACGCGTTGTGGGGCCTCACAGCCTCATGGAGAGCCAAATGTGGTCTCGATGGCCGCCAGCACGAGGATGGCGCAGCAGTCTGGGGACGACCTGTGAAATGCCTGCAGCACGCGTGCGGTGGCCACGGTGGCACCATGGGCACAAGATTGGTGGTGCCCTTCATCAGCTGTATTTAATTGGTGTATTCTGTTTTCTTGAACGTGCCGTGACGATGGGGCCGGCCCTGCTGCTGCTGTGCACATGGGGATGAGTGGCTCGGGGGGGCTCAGGTCACAGTGGGGGCTGTGCCGTGAGCCCATCGAGGATGACATGGGCACCTCCGAGAGTGATCTGTCGTGGATGGTGGGCGACAGCATTCTGTGTTGCAGCGGGTTGTGGGGCAGCAGGATGTGGGGCTTCAGGGCTCCTCCAAACCCTCCGCTCAGCCCCCGAGGCCCCACATTTCCCTGCTCTGTGTGTAGCTCATTTCATGCCAAATGGAAATGGGGTTTGTTTTTCCTTTTTTTTCCCCTTTGCTCCTGCGTGTGGCCAATGGAGTGTTTCCTCGCCGCGTTTCATTACAGCCCGCACCGCTCAGACACCGCTCCCAGCGCTGCCGTGTGCCGGGAATGCCAATGAGCCCACACTGCCACTGCAAAGTGCATTTGTCCTGAATGCAGAATAATTAATGGTTTGGGAGAACCGAGCGAATTACATTGGAGCTGTTGCCCAATTAGTTAAACTAATTGAGAAGCGGGGGCAGCTACGAGAGACCCTGCAGCATCGCGGTGCTCTGACTCCACAGCAGGAATGGGGCCATCCCCACGCATCCCCACAGAGCCCAGCGTTCTTTTTTTGGATGTTCTGCTCTGTTTTCTATCTGTTCCTGTACATATGCATGTGCACATCGGGCGCTCGTGGAGCTGAAGGGGTGGGAGCACGGTGCAGTACCATCACTGCTCTGTGGGCGCTGTGGGGCCGGCCACTCACCGAGCTGTGCTTCCCCCATATGCGCTGTGACAGATTACAGCTTGATAGAGCCACAAACACCGAATAGCAACAGAGGCGTCAATTTAGTTATTAACAAAGGGCAGCATTCAAATGGCGCTGGCGCGGCTCCAAGTTGCCGAGCTCATGAGCGTTTATTAAATATTCATCGAAATCTTGGCATTTCGCTCCCCGCCTGCTTCCCCCCCCCCCCCCCGAAATGAGTTGGTTCTAAAGGTTAGGAGCCGACTTCAAAAAATTAATTATTTCGTTAGCTCGCTATAAATTAGATCTTTACAACGAAGTTTTGGAGGGTCGGTGCGAGATGAGCCGCGGTGGCACTTTGGGGGGCAAGTTGGCTCCTCACGTGCGCCCTGACCCCGCCACGTGGCGGCGTGTGACCCCAAATGCTGCGTGAGCTCCAAAAAAAAGAAAGAAAGAGAGAAAGAAAGAAAGCAAATTTAAATACAAAAACATGAGCGGGTCTGTCTGCTCCTTTCACCTGCCCCTTTGTCACCGAGCCGTACCTGCGGCACTCGGAGCTTTGTGCCACCACCGCACTGCGAGACTCTGCCCTCTGGTTTGGCACCACGGCTCCCCATTTGGTGAGTGCGCTGCTGCTGCCAGCAATTAATTGGTGCAGCTCTCCCGCCGCTGCTCATTAGCATGCAGGGTGCGTGTGGGCGCTTCGTTGCCTGCAGCATTGGCACGGGGCTGCTGGGTGCGGGAGTGCGGCGGGGTGCTGCGGGTTGTGGGGTGCTGCAGGGTATGTGGTGCTGCGGGGTGCTGCTGCTCGTGCAGAGCCATGCACCAAGGGTTGTTGCTCGGTGTCTCTTCCTCCCGCCAACTCCCCGCTGTGCTCCCATCCTGCATCCCTGCTTCCATTGAGATGCTCCCAGTGCTCCGGGCTGGTGGGACCCCCGCTGCTACTACAGCTCATTGCCTTGATGCTGGGATTAGTTCTTTTCCTTCCCCATCCATAAGCACTCGGGATGAGTGTTCGGAGCGCGGGCTGCGTCGCGGTGCTGAGTCCCGGCTGCCGTAAGGCTCGGCCGTGCCGCGGTGCCCCGCCTGCCCCCCGCCATGCTCACAGCACGCGAGCGAGCACACAGCCCTGAGGGCAGACGAGATCCATCCTCCCAGTGCCAGGGACTCAGCCCCAGCCTGGAAGAGGCTGTAGGGTCCGGCGGGGTGGCAGGCGCTGTCATTAGGATGCAGGTCCACCGCCATCTCCCTGGAGACCATGGGAACGGAGAGCTCGCGGTGCCGGTGCCTGGCAGCCGCGCTGGGAAGGGGCAGCTGTGCGTTGGCTCTGAGGGCGCCGATGAATTACTGCCCCTGTTCAGGCAGGAGCCTTTGTTCCCCGCGCATTGTCAGCAGAGAAATCGGAGAGAAAAGTAAAATTAATCAGGCGCAGCTCGAGATACGGGGAGACAATGAGCCGAGCGCGTACCGGGAGATAGCACCGCGCGGAGCATCCGCTCCGTTTTAAGCATTAGTGGCGATTTTTTTTTTTGTCTTTGAACTAATTATCTACAAAAGCTCCTTTGAGCTGACGCCGGGTATGAATTGCCGCGCTGGTGCGGCATTGTGATGGCGGTGATCCCGTATTTAATACGCGGGGCATTCCTGGGTAGTCGCTGGCCCCTTTGTGCCGCTGAAGGAAGCCATATGTTTCAGAGACATCCCGAAAGATCTCACGGCAACAACAAAACGGGGATTTCTGCCTCTGCTGAATGTGGCTGCCAATCACCCACGTCCCGCTGCCGGTGCTGTGTGGGTCACCGCGGGTCTGTGTTAGCGGTGGGGATGTGCCGGCTGGGCGCTGAGCTCGGCACACTCTGAAGTGCACCGAGGGAACTGATCTTCCTCCTCACGGCATTGCAGAGAACTGAGGAGCCTTCTGCCCCTGTTCCCGAGGTTCAGCTTGAGCGCAGTGTGCAGGGTTTTCTCTGTGGGCTTTTCCTTGCTTTTTGCTCGTACGGCTCGTTACACCCAGCCCTTTTGTGCACCGGATTAAAACCCACGGCCCATGACTTCCCAGGGTGTAGCACTGCGATTGGTAGGAATGGATTTCAATCCCTGTGGCCAAAGCCCATCCTGTCCCTGTCCCATGGTGCTGACCCCAGCAGCGTGCCCAGCCCCGCTCCACCCTCCCAGCACAGGACAGGACCCGTTCCCATCTGCTCCCTTTGCTCTCTGGGTTCCCCGTCTGACAGCCAACACAAAGCACAGCTCCGTCTTGATTTAGTAAGTGTCTGGAAATGTCATCAAAGACATGATAATAAAATATCAGATGCAGGGAAATGACTAGCCAAAAGGCATTTTAAAAAGCTAAGAGTGTCCATGTAGTAGATTAAGACAGCCATTCCCATCCTGTGCATGTTCTCACCACCCATCCATTGCCTGCATTTGATGTTTTATCACTTCCAAAGGCTCAGCTCGCCCCGCACACACCTTCAGTGCATGCACTGCTACTTACAGGGCAGGCAGAGATGTAGATGGCAATAACTACAGCTGAGTTCTAATGCTCAGAAGTCTCTTGGTAAATTAAAGCCCAGCCCCACACCCAGCGCAATAGGGACAGAGCCAGCTCAGCAGCACAGGGACGGATGTGTTAATGTTTTAATAGGCTGATCACCTCATAAATAATTTGCTCAGTTCTAGAGTAATTGACCCGGTCACAGAGGTAATAAAGGGCTTTCCCTTGGGTTCTTGTTCAAAGGCTGAGCAAACCCTTTCAGAGGGAGCCCTAAGTGCCTTTTAACAATATGTGTTTTATATGGTCACAGTCTGGTACCCTGCTAATTCAGCAGTCACTGCAAACACCATCAGTTCGGCTCCATGGATATTTCAATTAAAATAAAAAAAAAAAAAGAAGAGGGGGAACCAACAGCACCTTCAGCCCCAAGAGCTCTGTGCTGCAACGTGTGGGCACTGCCTTCCTGCAGCTCCACAACCACTGCGCAGCCCCTGGGCTGTGCTCCTGCACCCACTGCTGCTGGCACTGGGCTTGGCTATGGCTGTGGGTCACTGTACAGCAGCAGGAGCAGGCAGATCCCAGGGCACAGCTTCACCCTCAGACCCCACACACCCATCCCATTCATTTCAATGCACTGAATGCACACACTGCACTCTTGTATGCTGGGGATTCCTGCTATGTGCTCTTGATTACTGAGTTTTCCTCCCCTCTGATGGGTTTTCCTCTTGTGTCCTGGCTATTCCTGGGGTGTACTGCACATTCCTGATGCATTCTTGCTGTTCTTCCTGCATCCTGGGTATTCCTATTGTGCACTGTGCCCTTCTCCTTGCTGGCACTGGGAGCTGCAGAGCCAAGCTGTGGCCCAAACCATCAGACACAAATGTAGTTGCAATGGAAAGTAAATTTAATATCCTTGCCCTTATTTTTGTAAATTAGTGTAACCGTCAGCTACAGAATAAATGACACCTAATTACTGATGGGGCAGCTCGTGCAGAAGCGCAGAGCTGGGAGGCGATCATAGGGAAACACTGTCAGTGATGGGAAATGAACATGATGCCGGCTGTAGGGAGCTGTAATTACCGAGGACTGACACACTGTGAGCTGTTTATGGTAATGAAGCGGTGCATCAAATCAAATTAACCTTAGTTATTTAGCACAGAACGCACCGAGGACTTCTCTCAGTCGATGCCAAACCCAAACCTGGAGCGGTTGCCCTTTGGACTGACAGAGTCAGAAATTTGCTGGGGATGAAGGTGGAGGCAGTGGCTCTCCTTTAGGATGTGTGCATGGCTGTGTGCAGGGTCCTGGGCGATGCAGGGCAGGGCAGGTTGCAGCGCCCTGCGCCCCACGGGCATCCCTGTGTCCCCATGTCACCATGCACTGGGCAGAGCTGGAGCAGGTCAGCTGGAGGAACACTCACAGCGGGATCCCTCCCCCCTGACAGGTGAGTAACCTTTTGGAATAACCCAAATGCTTCATTAAAGATTAACGAGCTTCCAGCAAGGCTCTCCTGCTGCAGGTTGTGCTGCATGGGGAGCGGGTACAGGGAGCACGTGGGGCACAGGGTGCAGCTCATCCCTGTGCACGCTGCTGGGATGGATGAGGAGGGAGGGACTGTTGGAGTGGCTGCGTCCCAGCAGTGCCTGCAGGTTTCCACGGACCCGTTTTGCTGCTGACCATTTTGCTATGAGCTGTGTTGGACCGTTTGGCATTAGGAAAGATTTGCTCGGTGCCCCCCTGCCTGCATGGGCCTCGAGGGGAGCCAAGCCCCTCCTCCAGGAAAAGGAATCCTGGGCAGAACTTCCCGTTGGTTGGAAAACGTGAACTGCATCTGCCGTGAAAGCTCTTAATTCCTCTGTGTAACTCAAAGCTGTGCATATTGAAGAACCCGCCGCCAAATTGACCCTGAGCTGTATTTTTGCATCAGCCTGTGTTTATCCGGTTGGGTTCAGTTGGGACAGCAGGAGCAGCACATCCTGCTGTCTTTGAGCCCTGATGCATGGTGCAGGGTGTGGGGCTTTCTGCTTATGGGTACATTTTGCTTCTTTCTGTCACTAGAGTCTCAGTAGTTAATCTCTATTGTAAGGGAAGAAAGAGAAGAGATTTTCTCTAATTCCTTTTAAATGGCCTCCAAATGAGGGCTCAAGCAAAGATGACTAACGACAGACCTGATTAAACTAATTTGGAAGGAGAAGCTCTGACAGCAGCCCTCCAAGCCCAGGTGTAGCCCTGATGACACACTGCCATCCATGCTGCAGATCTCCTTTGCCATGATATCTGAATTAACCAAATTCATTGCTTTGTGGTTTTGGTTTGAGCAGAAGATTTCCTTCTTCACTGAAAACGTTTTTGTCTGTTTTCTGCAAACCTTTTACTTCCCACTGCCAGATACAGTCCCACTAATGGGATACTAAACCCCAGTTTGCTAGCAGTCAGCTCTGCACCTCCCATACCTCTCACCAAAGCACTCCCTCTGTACATGCCTTCGCCTTCCAAGAACTGATAACATTAAAATACCCACAGTGTAGAGATATGCAGAGAAGCTCAGTGTCCCATTCCTTCCCCGCAGTACTGGCAGTGATTAATGTGACGCCCGTTCTTCTGTCCATCTCGCTTTTGTTTAATTATCACTGTTGCATTGTTTGTGTCTCTGGAGACCCGATCTGGTGGGATTGCCCTAATGGATTATGTATGAAATCCAGGTCAGTGCGTCCAAGTATTACCGCTTCATAATTTGCTGCGCCGCAGAGGCCAATAGAGATGCCTTGTATTATTAATTATACCAATATATTTTCATGAGTAATGTGATTAATTAGGCTGTGTGTATTACAGTTCCAGGCCTGCTCTGTTGTGTGTTTGTTCTTGGATGGAGGTGGCTGGCTCTGAGCAAGCAGCAAAATCTGCTCCGGGCAGAACTGCCCAGTGCCAGGCAGCATGCACAGCCCCAGCAGCGCAGCAGCCCAGGGCCATGGGCAGTGCCGTGGTGGTGGTGCCACGGTGGCAGTGCCAGCACTGAGTTGGCACAGAGCTGCACCAAGGGCACAGCTCTCAGGCTCCAGGCTCTGCTCCCAGTGTGGCACAGCTGAACTTCTCCTGCCTCTTGTTTTCACGTAGGTCCAAGAAGAGTCACCACCCTTTAAGTGCCACGAAGAGGCCTTCCACTCTCCGGTGCAAGAATTCAAACAGTAAGGCAGTGTTTTTTCTTTCTGAGCAGTTGCTGCTGGGTTGCATTTTACTCCGTCAATTTCTTTCCTTCCTGCTGTGTGTTTGATCACAGGGGTCTGTTTCTTTGCTTTTTGACGTAGCTCTGCTCTGGCAGTCGCACAAACAATTGTGTCTGGGATGGGTATTGTCCTGTCTGCTCGTGCTGAATTCCTTCCAGCAGTGCTTCGTGCCCTCGAGTTGCAGTTTTCCCATCCAGCTGCCAGCAGAGTACTCATCCCAGTCCCTGCGACTTCTCCTTGGCACCAGGATGCACAAAGGGAGCTAACCCAGTGGTCAGTGCTGCAGTGTGCTGGGGCAATGCGGGTGCCCTGCCCTATGTTGGAGCACTGTGCGTGGGTCACGGTGAGGAAACCATCCCCTTCCACCTCCCCAGCCCTGCTGGGAGCTCAGCATGGAGGGAATCTTTCTGGGGATAACCTGAACGGCGCTGCGCCGGTTTGTAGCTGAGAGCCAGGGAGGAGCCTCCTTGACTCTGCATTTAACTCAGTGGATTCACCCCTCCTCTAGGACAAGCTGATCATTGATGGGCTTTAGAAACTCCGGTCACAGTCAAAATTAAATCAAAAAATGGACTATTACTCAAAGAGACTCGGAGTTGCCTGAGATTTATATGCTTTGGGCAGCTCGAGCTCCATTTGCTGGATACTTCAGAAGCCTCACCACAAGCACACCGTGACCACCTGCAATTTCACACCGCTATAAGCTCGCTCTCATTGAGATTGGGGAGATGAAAAATGTCTTTATTAAGGGAAGTCTCAGGTCCCTGATTGGCTGCTAAGTACGTTTTAATGTGTGGGGTGAGGAGTGCGGGGCTGGAGGTGGCATGGTGGTGCCTGAGCTCCTGTGAGAGCCTGGTGGGAGAACTCCAGATGAAGGATTTAGCTGCATTTTTTTGGCTGCTTGGACTGTCTCGAGATGGTGGATGGCTCTTGCTTTCAGGGCAGCATGGGCTGTGCACCCTTGGACAGGCTGTGAGTGTGCATGCCTCCACCCACGTGGTGCTGCAGGTCCTCCTGCTGCCTTTAGCTGCCTATTTTGCTCCTTGACCATAAAACCGTGGCAGACCCATTGCCAGGTTTCCTCCCTCCCCCCTGCCCCAGGACTCCCGGAGCTGCTCTGGAGGGAGCTCTCACTGTGCTCCTTGCAGTTCCAGGTGGTTCCTGCCGGGCAGTGGCTGTGCACAGACACCCCTACACGCGGGTGCCTTGTGCTGTCCGTGTGCTCCATTTCGTATTCCCTGTGCTCCTACCACTGAGCCGTGCCCTGCTCGCCTCCCCCGTCATTGCTGCATCCCAAGCAAGTCCTGCACGCTGCAGACAGAGCCACGGGAGCGGCTGCTGCTTCCTGCTGCTCCTGTTTCCCCAGCACACCGCTGTGGGTATCCACCCCAGAATGATCTTTTATTCCCGCGTTTGTGTCTTTACTCCAGGAATCATGCACTGAACCTGGAGCGAAGTCAAGCACGGAGCCTCCTCCCAGCTCATCCAGCAACACGTTCACAAAAGGCCCTGTTATTATCCCCACGTCCACACACTCTAACCCTGTAATTAGATGCTTAGGCTATGATTGCCCCATTGTCCGCTGGATGGGTTTAATCATTCTTTCCTCCTACAGTGGCAATTTTGTCCCAATTAATTATTTCAGTTTGAACAGCAATAGCTGGTTGAGTTTAGAGAGAAATTAAAAGGGTAGAGCACAATAATGAAGAGCGAGCTAACCAGTGAAAAGCTGCAGACAAGGCTGCTGCTCCATGCTCTCCACCGAGGGCTGGAGCACCTCCTTGCCTGCACATGGCAGCAGGGCTGTGTGTTCATCCTCAGGTCCAGCAGAAGGTGCTGCTGCAGCCGTGGTGGCCGTGACAGCAGTGGTGGCTCCAAGGTGAGTGGCAGTGCAGGCAGAGCAAAGAGATGAGGGCAATGCCACAAATTAGGGTCAGCCTATGGCTATCAATGGCAGCTCTCTGAGAAGACAGTTCTGCCGAGGCTGTGCTCCCTGCCCTCCTATCCTGTGCCCAAACCCCCATTTATTCACTTTATCTCCCCATTTATTCACTCTTGGCCACACAGTGGCAGAGCCCTGCAGCTCCCCAGCACTGCAGCATGTGTTTTGGTGGTTCTCAGAGGGATAGGTGCTGTTCTCTGGGTGATTCGGGATGCAATTGAATTGGGTTAAAAAAAATAAAATACAAATGTTAAGGTTATACAAGGTTTTGAGGGGAGAGGGGGAAAATATTCATGCCTTTCAGTAGTTACAAAAATGCTGCCTGTGCAATTCATGTATAATTCAGTGAATTCCAGAGTAGTTTGAATATTTAAATTATGTATGATCAAAGCAATAAAGAAATCTGCTTTTCCTCACTCCGAGCCCCCAGACGTAATGCTCCCAAGCGGCCCCTCCCCAAAATGCAGCTTCTCGCCTCCATTGTGCCTCATTGCTGCAAAGAAATTGAGTTTGTCTGGAAAAGTGCAGTGCTGAGTGCGGCCACTGCTCCCCAGCAGCCAAAGGTGGGCAGGTGGGGGCAGCCCCACAGCATCCCAACCCCACCTCATCTCTGTGCTGTGACTCCCAGGTGCAGGGGAGGTTCTGGCTGGAGCTGGAGCTGGGGCTGCAGCTCCCCAACAAACCGAATGGGGAAAAAAGCAAAAGGAGGGAAAAATGGACAGAATGCTGCCTCTGCCCCTCCCTCTGGCTCCTGTCCAGATGCTGTAAATTTTCGTTGGTAATCTGTAATTTAATGATCTATTCCTAAGAGAAAATTAGTCAATTTACAAAAAAAAAAAAAAAATCGCTGTTAATTTAAGCATAATGGTGGGAGAGCAGTGTGAGTGCTGCAGCCATCCTCAACCTCTGCTATTCCCTCTGCTCAGCCCTGCAGAGGGCAATTACAAGGCAGAATCTTAGTAATACGCTGAGGTCCATTTGAAATCTCCCAGAAAAGACTGCAGAGAGGTTCCTGGGGGCATGAAAAGCAATTTCCTCCTGGAATAGGAGGTGGTTCTGAGCTGGAGCATGGCTCAACTGAATGAAGGTGCTGAGACCTGGAGAGCAGGAGTGAGTCCTGTGCTGGGGATGGCAGTGGGCACACCCCAGCAATGTGAGCACACCCCAATGATGTGGGCACACCCCAGGGATGTGGGCACACCCCTCTGGTGGGGGCAGAGCCTGAGCAGTGAGGTGGAGGCCGTCCCTTCCACAGGTATTGAGATGGATGGCGGTGGCTTTGCTCATTAGAGCCTGTGGCAAAGGGTAGGTGCTGGAAGTCAGCGCTGTGGGGAAGAGCTGCAAGGGAGCTCATTAACTTGAAAAATTGGGTCCAGAGGGCTCATTTGTCTGATATCAGTTCTGTGTTTTCTCTAGTAAAGTAGAAAATGAGGGAGGGGGATCTGAGCCGCCCCTCAGTGACTGACTCTTTGATTTAGCCCTTCCTGATCCATGTCCTTTCTTTCAAACAGCCTGTAGCACAGCTTGCTTTCCATAGTTTTAAGCCTGTCCATGTGAACATGGTCAGACCCTGCCATGTGTTCTCCTGGCACCGCACTGCTGTGCTTCCAAGGAGCACACAGCCATGCCCTTTGGTCAGGTGCTCGTGAAGCAAGGTCCAGGCAGGACGGAGCAGGGCAGCTTTGGACTGCTGCAGGCCACCAGTTGCTGCTATCAGGGAGCCAAACCGTGTGCTGCATCCACACTACAACCACAGCCACACATTCCACAAAGCAGGGCTCTGGTGCGCTGCTCGCAGCCATGCACCCTGCACCGGTCTGCCCCCGTGGCTCTGAATGCATTTGCAGCAGGGACCCCAGCCTGTTGGAACCCGGCCGGCAGTGAAAGTGACAATTAATGACAGCTTGAACAGCATTCCTGCTAATTGCATCACGCTATTAATAAGGCAGAGCTGTCAAAGCACAGCAACTGCTCGAGCGGAAGTCAGGCAGCGTCTGTGCCAGCCGTGGTCCCCAGCCCCGCACGTGGCAGGCATGGGGGGAAGCATGGGAAGGTTGTGGGGCTCAGTGTTGCTGCTCCATGCAGGGGCAGCTCCCAGCCCCCAGCAGCTGACAGCGGTGCAAGTGATGTTCTCTTTGCAGTCTTTCCCATTAAATTAGAAGGGAAATCTATTTCCTGTTTTTAAAAGAAGGCGAGTGAAGTCAGTGTTAAATATAGATATATGGTATGTAAATGAATCTGACAACTGAGTGAATAAAAAATGAAGGTGTAAATTATTGAAGGGTGGGAGGAGATGGCGCATGCAAATAGCATTAATGTGGAAGGAGGCAGCTCTCTGAGCAGGGAACAGAGGTTTGGAAACGTAATTATTTCTTTTACGAAAAGGGCCACAGATTAAATAAAAGCCAACAGAACTGGCACACGTTTATTTCAAAGGCCTTCCATCCTGTCGTGTCACTTCATTCTCCTACCTTTTTTTATTGATTTGTTTGCCCGCTAATTAATGGGAGCAATCAACGGCTGCTGGATGCTTAAGCTTTAGCTAAAACAAGGTGAAATGAGCTTTGCCGGGGTTGCAGGGGTGGCCGTGGGGTTTTGATCCGAGGCACAGGGCGGTGTGCGGTGCTGCAGCAGGGATGCACTGCTGCTGCGTGTAGCGAGCGGGCGTTTATTTCCCCGTGCACACCAGAGCTGGCACCTGAGGGGGCTTCCTCAGCTGCACGTACTTTGTGTGCATCCCGTCTGCATCCCGCGTTGCATCCCGCCCGCCCCCCGCCGCTCGGTGCCGCCCCGCTCCGCGCTCTGCCGCTGTCTCCGTGGTAACGGCGCCGCCGCTCCGCTCCTTTGTGTGCAGCGCGGCGCTGGCGGGCGGCCAGGAGCTGCCCCAAGCCGGGGCTCCGCGGCGGGGCCGCCAATGTCCGTGCTGCCAGAGGCGAAGGGGCCCCAGGAGAGGCGCGGCGTGGCTGCGCCCAGGGCTCCCGGAACGTCCTCGAGGCGAGCGGCGGCGGGAGGCCGGGCGCGCGGTGGTGGCTGCTGAGCTGGAGGGGATCCGGCGGCAGAGAGCAATGGCAGCGCTGCCAGCAGCGTGGTGCCAGCAGTGCAGTGCGGTGCAAGGGAACGCCGGCAGCGCCGGCAATTCGATGCCAGCAGTAGCAGCGGTACCAGCCCGGCCTGCAGCTCCCGGGTGGGTCAGACCCTCCCCTGGGGCTCGCTGCCCCACCAGCACCCTGCGTTCACCAAGTGGAACCGGCCAGGATTGCCAAACGTGCCCCACAACTTCACGAGCAGTCTTTACTTGTTACGTTTTAGTCTGTTTGAGGTGGATAGTCTTATTAAGGTAAAACTGAACATTTTATTGTGAAAATGAATGTGAAAATCTTCAGGGCTGGATGTGGCTCAGGGCAGCCTGGTCTGGTGGTTGGCGACCCTGCATGTAGCAGAGGGGTTGAAACCAGATGGTCATTGTGGTCCTTTTCAACCCAAGCCATTCTATGATTCTATGATCCTATAAACTACAGCATTTACAGCTAAATGGAAGTCCACTTGTCAAAACCAACACACTGGCCTTAAGCAATGTGTTTGTTTTGCAGTGCAGTGAAGGAGGAGGAGATCTTCATCTGTGATCTCTGTAGCACTTCTCAGAACTGAATAGAAAGGGAAAAACAAGGGCAGTTTATTAAAAAAAAAAAAAAAAAAAAAAAATTCCACAGGGGAAAAAACCCAAACAAGCACAATAACAAACAAGATTTTGCAGATGTAAATGAAAACAGGCCAAACAAAAAGGAATGATGTACTTGAGATACGTACTGGAATTTTTGTCAAGATGGCAAAGATTTGGAATTAGATTCTTGCACAGCACCTGGTAATGGAGGAGGCTGAGGTGCCAGTGCAGGTCCGGAGCAGCAGACCTCGCCTGTCCTCTGCTACCAGGATAACCCTGGGGCCTGTTCTATGCTGTGAGCCTGGCTGTGCTATGTGATATGTGGCCACACCAAGTAAGTCTATTTTCAGATGTGCTTAGGAGCGATTTAAGGCCAGTTCAAAATTAGAGCTCTTTGAAAACTGATCCTTAGGAGATGTGTGTCCTCAGCTGATGTGCACAAAATCAGGAGCAGCAGCAGTGATGCTCAGGAGCACATTGCTGGGGAGAGAGTAGCACAGCTGGTGGGACTGCTGAAATGTCCCCCCGCTGGCCCTGTGAGCCCTAACCCTGCCATGCAGGGGACATCAGGGCAGCACTAGGCTCCCAGCAGTGATGGGGCCAGGGAAAAGCCCATGTTTTTCCCTGCACTCCTCACTCCATGCTCCTGATGATGGTGGTGGAGGACACTGTTTTGTTATTGCATTCTTCTCCAAACAGTGCCACAGTACTTTTGGATTTGCTGTTTTATTTAGGAAAAGTAAAAACAGAGAAACAAAACTTGCAGAAACCATGGCCATAAAGCAGCCACCTGCCAGCCGTGACTCAGATGGCTCCAGCACAGGCACAGCCTGGGGACCGATGCCGTGCCCATGTCCCCTCCCCACAGAGGGACCCTCAGTGTGATTTTCTTCTGAGGTGTGGTGCAGCCCTGGCAAATAAAGCTTGGAAGCATCTATTGCACTGCGCCACTTAAGAGACCAGGGGATGTGTAATTGGCTGGATGCAGAGTGAAAGTCAGGCTCAGCGATTCCATTTTACAGTTGGCAGCCTTCCCAAGTGCAGATCAAGGGAAGCAAGTTGGACTAGCTTTAAAACACAGGGAAATTTGTTATCTTTTATAATATTTTGCTGATTTAAAGGGTAGGATTAAATTCTCATTTAATAAGCCCAAGTGACCGCTCCCCCCATTCTGATCACTCTGTGTCACAGCAATAATGCTGGAAAGGCACTGGGAGCCTGGAGGCACGGCAGCATATTCTGTCCTCCCGAGCACAGACCTGATGATTGCTCGCTGCTGCAGCCCATGAGCAGGCGCTGGCTGCTTTGTGGTGAGCCTTGCAGCACAGCATGGGAGCTGTTTCCCAAAGCTGCTCAGAAGGCAAGCGTTTGAGCAATGCAAGAAGGCATTTGGTGTTAGCACCTTCCAACTCTCTTGTTTGCATTGCCCCTCCTAAATAAGGATCCTACGGAGACCCAGATGTGTAACATAAATAGTTTGGTTGACTCAACTAAGCTGCTCCTGGGCAGGCTTTGTTTTATGAGCAAGAACTGCCTCTTCAGGGCTTTCACCTTACCAGCTCCTACCACGTCATTTTTAAATAGTTCTAAAAATGCATCCTGTAAATAAAATCCCTACCATGAACAAGAAGAGCCTTTCCACAGAGCAGTGCACAGAGCCTCTCTGTGAGCGAGAAGACTGTTTTCCCTTGTCTGTCAGATCAGCTCATTTAGATT